TGTTCTGCACTGATATATTTTGTTGCTTCAATTTGAGTAGATACATATATAAATACAATGCAAAAAAAGAAAGCATATACATACAATTCACACTTTATAACTACACTTCATACGCTGTATCCATAGCACAATGTTAGTATCTTATTCTTCTCCATGGAAGAAGGGAATGCACTACATTTCAGTTTTGTGCATAACTGCATATTCACATTCACATAAAACGTAGTATCATAGTCAGCAAGTGATGCTTAAAAACCCTTGATATACATGCTTACCAAATGGCCAGATACTATGCAGCTTCTTTGTAGAAGTCTCTAAGCTGCAGTTAATGGATCCCCTTGCCATGGTGGAAGGAGCATGGATGCCTGCAAGCTGAATCGGCACTGGACCTGGCGTCCAAAGCTTTGATCAAATGTCTCATGTGAATTGTGGAGTTAGGTGCTTGTAGTAGGCAAGTAAATAGGTGCTTGTAGTAGGCAAGTAAAATATAGCTAGAGTATGTTGTGCAGGTATTGGATGGATGAGTGCCTAATCAATCTCCTAGATTTATCAAAATGTTCCCATTGTAGACTGGGATTCTTGTATAGATTGGTGATGTAGCAGTTTCTCTCTTTCTTTAAGCATCTCTACAAGCACTTTTTGTATTGTACATGCCCTAAGGATATCAGATTGTTGATCATGTATAAGCAGCATGTTGCACACCATTTCATATGCAAATAAAGCTTAATCTATGTTGATGATAACAATTCGTGGATGTTTTGTTTTCTGTTCAAGTTGTGGTTAATTTTTCTTTGTTTGGTAAAACTCTTGCCTTGATAAATGCATGCAATTCTCTTATAGATTATTTGGGTATTCACAAGCACTGGAACGAGGGATTTTGGAGCGATCAAACAGACCAAACTACAGGGCTGTTCTGGAGTATGATGGGGTTCTGTCACGGCGAGTTTCGAACAAGGTATGGACATGCAACCAATCTTTTGAAAAGAGCTGTCCGAATCTAGATGCTGCACAGATGTCTCTACATTTAGCCTATTATGGATACTATTACTCATCTAACCTGCATAATTAGGGTCCATAATATAATATGTGAATTGTATCAAATTTGCACAGCAAATGAGAAAGGTCTGTCATCAGTAGCATATCTAGTCTATCTAGCTAATAAAAGCAAGAATGTTGTGCTTCTTAGGTATTTGTGCAGGACACACACACACACGTATGTACATATATATGTTTGGGTGTGGACAAGTTTTATAGGACGGCGATTAGACCTGCTATGTTGTATGGTGCAGAATGTTGGTCTACGAAAAGACAACATGTTCAACAGATAAGTGTCGCGGAAATGCGTATGTTGCGTTGGATTTGCGGCCATACAAAAAGGGATCGGGTTCGGAACGATGATATACGTGATAGATTAGGGGTAGCACCAGTTGAAGAAAAGCTTGTCCAACACCGGTTGAGATGGTTTGGACATGTCTAATGGAGACCTCCAGAGGCACCGGTGCGTAGTGGAATCCTAAGCCAGGATAGTAACGTGAAGAGAGGCAGAGGAAGACCGAAGTTGACTTGGGTAGAGGCAATAAAAGGAGACTTGAAAGGATGGAATATACCCAAAGACTTAGCCTTAGATAGGAGTGCTTGAAAAACAGTTATTCACGTGCCTGAACCTTGATTGCTTCTGCTGGGTTTTAACTTTAGCCTACCCCAACTTGTTTGGGACTTAAAGGCTTTGTTGTTGTTGTTGTTGTTGTGGTGGTGGTGGGTAGTAGTATTAAGGATAGTACTTATCGTAAATTCTATTTGAGTAATGACAGTTCATTTGCAAAAGGAGATGCTTCATGGAGCAGTGGAACTGTAGTTTCTGTGAATCTTAATTGTTCTGTAGCCATTATTTTTATTTGACATACCAATTCTCTTTGCTTTTACTGTTTAATTAATAGAGAAGCACTTTCTTATACACATAAAATATAATAGATTGTCTCAAAGTTGACTGCCAAAATGTATACACTTACTCAGTGGAGATATATTTGCAAATAAAATAAGACTTGAATTTCATATGTTTTTGCTACCACATAATTTACTGATCCCCAAACAATATGCTATTCATTTTTAATATATGGCATATATTTTTTTTCTTTCTTTTGAAAAAGGAATCTGCTAGAGCCAAGACAAGGGAAGAGCTTTTGGCTGAAGAACGAGATTATAAACGAAGAAGAACATCTTACCGTGGCAAGAAAGTGAATCGAAACCCTACAGAGGTGCATGTCAAAGTTCTAGATAATTTCAGCTGTTATGATTATTGTACACATTTCAAACAATTACTATTTTGGGTTTTTTTGCCTAGTTTTAGCTTCTTGTTTGATATTAGATATAACATTGGAAATAGGACAACCTTTCACATCATGTCAGGAGGCTAGAGTAATTTCTTATCAGTATCTGATCTCATTTCTATATTGTAATTAATTATCCAGTTTAAAGTTGTTTCACTAAATTTCCTATACTGTTCATTCTGATATCATTTTTACTGTCGATGGAACAAGTAAAAAGCTTCTGTACATTGTACTGCCTCTTGTTCTTTTGGTTTTGGAAGTTACTTGCCTTGATCAAGATATGAATCTGATGTCTTCCTTTCTCTATGAAGATACTAAGAGACATAATTGATGAGCATATGGATGAAATCAAACAGGCAGGAGGTATTGGTTATGTTGTGGAAGCTCCTGCTGATATTTCTTGGAATGTGTTTAAGAGCAACTCTCACAGCGATGCATATCATGGAAGTTATGATTTTGCAAGCAGCTACTCTCATGATGAGGAAGCTTTGGCTTCTCGGTCATCTAGCTGTGACAACCCACATCGTGCTGATTCTTTGGGAAGATTTTCATCGAGGAGCAGTGACACGAGATTCATACAATAACTCAAGGTGTCTAACTCATGGAAACTGTTACCACTATATATCTGAGAAGGAAATGGGTGGAATATAGGATCAGAAAGTGAAATATATCAAATTTATCCTTACCAGCAAGAGAACCATAGACACTCCAATGACAATAGGAATTCTGGCTATAAGTTTAAGAAGGATGTCTCAAACCACCGTCATGAATCAAATGATTGTACAACATGGCCAATACAGTCACAAAATCACCTGTGACAGAATATTCTCACTTGCCAGGAGAAGGGTTCAGTGATAGAAGCGACATAAATCATTATCTGTAACTCAAGACTAATTCAGTGATATAGATATGATCCCCAAAGTGCAGATTCTGCTTGAGATCATTCGACAACCATGCTTGGTGATGTTACTAAAGGAAAGCATGAGATATACCATGATGAAGTACATCGTCATGGACATTATGAAAGGAAGTGCGATCACAATCACTGAAGGGTAATACAGATTATTTTTTGCTTTATATGCCAGGCATGCTTGTTAAATTATGTTGGGTTTTCTAAGTTTTTAGCAATTGTTTTTACCCTACTATTTGATATGACCTTGCAGTAGCAAAATAATACATGGCTCTGTGGTATTAGCCTTCAGCCGTATCCTTTTACGTATCCTTGTGCAACTTTATAATGCCCCTTGCATTCCGAGTTAATATCTGTTACAGTTATCTTCCTCAGGATCTGTTAGCTGTTAAAATTCTCTCTTGCTTTACAAATTCATTTACACTGATCCTGGTTCTTGCTGTGCTGATATTTTAATCATTTCACTGCTAATGTTTTGGAAACACTTTCAGCTAGTATTCAAGTTTTTTTTTAAAAAAATTATTCTGGATTTTTACCCAGTATGAGCTGAAAAAAGAAATTTCTGCTGGCTGTTTGCTTTGATAGAGCACAGAGAGTTCTATTTTCCGCAGCTCTATTTCTTTTTTATTTGTTCAAGTTTACCCTCACATGTGTTGGAAGAGAATTTCGTTCATCATTTTTTCTGTGCTCTAAACTCACGAGATGGCATTCTAGTGGGTTGTACATGTTTCATAATGGCAAACGAGTGAAATCGTGTTGCAGGATGGCAAACCAGCGAAGCTCACCTCCCACCATGGCGGAATTCTAATTTTCTCACTCATATTTGCCCTTCCATTCTTTTCAATTCAGTTCACCCTCGACCATGTATACGCTGTTGGCCTCCTCGCGACACCGATTAGAGCCAAAATGCAGCGCGGTGGGTGCGGTGTGCCGTAGCAGTGCCAACCGAAGAGGGGGAAGGGCTCGTGGCGCTCCCAATCAAGAGATCGGCGGTGGCGGGTGGATTCTTTGGCAATGGCGGCGGCGATTTGGTGGCACTGCAGCGAGGGAGAGAGGGTGTGGGAGCAGTGTGGTGATATCAAAACTCTTTTCAGTGTTCTTGAAATTCAGATAATCCATATCCACAGATATGAAAACTCTTTTCAGTGTTCTTGAAATTCAGGTTCGGGACAAGAGATTATCCGTTTCACACTCGCCCTACATGATGTGTGAGTTAAAATTTCTGGATGTCTTGCTTCAAGGCCACTCATCAAATTAGTTTCCAGACACCAAATACACGCACGCCACTCACTCTTCCAGACAGCATTGCAGTGCCATTCTTATATTAATTACAGGCATACAGCACGGAGGAAAAAAGCAGTCACCCATTCATAACAGAAACAGACGGAAGCACTCAAGCACCAAGCAAGATCGCATTCACCTCGCATGGCGCCAACCACAGCAAACAAGGAGAGGAGAGGGTCACAAGCCGACCTCAGGGAAAAACCAAAGCCGCATTCAAGTGCCAGGACACGGACACACGATGGACGCATGCTGGTCTAGGAGACACACCAGCGCAGGCTCACAGTCTCGCGCTGGCCCAGCGTGCTCTGGCCGGCCGTGGCCGCCAGTGCCCGGACGGTGCCCCCACACGCGTAACGGGTGCCGTGGTGCGTACGTGCACCTCTCCAGTTGAGCACTCCCTACCAGCCACGGCCAACCGGAACGGATCCTAGGCGCAAAGAAGCTTTGGTTTTCGGGCCTCCTTTCCTTCTCTCGTCTTCCCTTCAGGCGGCTATCGCCGGCGGCGCCGCCCATAGCTGGGCGTTCTTCACCTTGGACACGCTGTTGAGCACGCCCAGCGGCGTCACGTCGCCGACCACCGTCACCTTCTTCGCCGCGAAGTCGATGTTGAACGACGTCACGCCTGTTTGCATTCACAGGAGCCCCCGTTTGGATTGGTTATTATCACCAGAACCAGAAAAGGGTTAGTTGTGTGATCTTGTTGTCTTTTAACTCTGAACAAAAGTTTCAGATCCTGAAGAAATACAGTAGCTGTCAGGCTCACCTTCCATCTTGGAGAGGTGCTTCTTCACTTTCCCGGCGCATGCCTTGCAGTGCAGGGATACCTTGAGCACAACCACCTGATAAGATGCCAATGCTGGAGCTCAGTTCATAGAAACACATGTTTCCTTAAGCGAATCTAGCAAGGAACATATGTTGGCTTCGCGGATTTTGAACTAAACGAGACAAATGCGCAAGCTTGAAACCTAAGAGATGCCTTTGCTTATAATGATAAAAAAAATAGAGGTGCCATGATGTGAGACTGAAGTTCTCATACTAATCCAGTAGGCCACAAAGCTGCAGCCATTCCACAATTTTATATGCATATCTGCCTGTAATCATGGTATTTGGATAACTTCGCCTGGACGTTCCAGATATCAAATGAGAAAACATTGTATAACCCTCAAAGCCCCCACACTGATATGATTGTGCTACTGGTCACTTATGATTTTCTATCATTTTCTAATCAAGAAGAGTAGGGCCAAATGTTAAAGTAAAAAAAAAGAAATCACACAAGTACTGCATGCTAGTCATAGTCAGTGTTCAATAATGATCCACAAGACCACAGGTAAGTGGAGGATTCCTCACCTGCTCCTGCGCCTGCGCGCCGCTTTTCGCATCAGCAGCTTCACTTGCCTCCTCCCGCTTGGCATCGACGGCCGGGGCCGGGGCAGACTCCACCACCTCCTGGATCTCCTCGGTGACGGTGGCGGCGAAGCGGCCGCTACTCAGCAAGTACCTGGACGAGCCGGCCGGGCTGATGAGGCCACCGGTGTTATTAGGGACGACGACAGCCTTGTGCTGCTGCTGCTGCTGCCCTTTCTTGCCGTCGTGCCGGTGTGTCCTGGGCTCGGAAGGAACGTGAGCCAGGGGACTGGGACTGGGACTGGGACTGGGACTAGCAATGGCCTTGTGTGACCGGACCATCGGCTGCCGCTCCAGGCTCGGGCATATCGCCGTGGACGCCGGAGACGAGCACGAGAGCCCCTTCATGTCCCTGAACAGCAGAGGAGCCATGGCAGCCGACTAGCTAGTGAGCGCTGGAAACAAGCTGAGCTGCTGCTTGCCTGCTTTGGCTGTGTTGCTGAAATGGTGGAATGGAATGGACTACGGGGTAAGCTAGGAAATATATCTTATATATATAAGAGAGCACCACTTGGCTTTACATGGCAGTAAAGAGTAAACTCTTCTCAAATCCATCCAAAAAAGTGATGGTGAAAAAAACTCTTCTCAAAAGTGCTGCTGGTGTTTTTCTCCCTGAAGAAATTCACAGATGTCATTGTAGCATCAAACAAAATAGTTCAGGGATGGTCTGTAACAAACTGATAGTTTTTGGGCAAAACTACATGTTTCTTTTGTTCTTTTGTGCACAGGAAAGGCAGAGTTAGGCACAATAGCAGGAGATCTCCAATATCTTTTCACCAGGAAGTAGAGCTGTCACGATTAAGTTAGCTTGGAGGAAACGACACGATTTTTTAACCGTATCATTGCTGCCAGTGCCAGGCCACCGTGAAAGTCCTGACGTGTTTCAGATTTTCCGCCCACGTTGCTGTATGGTTCAGCACCACAGAAAGGCCTTTCAGGAAATTAATATTGTAGTTAACGTTGATGTAACATGCAGTACTGAATTGCTGATACGATGGTAGGCGTAAAAGAATTTGTGCCATCAGACTGAGTAATTCCCGTCGGGTTTGAGTACTGAACTGCCAGCACGGCTATGATTAACTGTTTTCATCGAGCACTAAATTCATTGATCTTCTTAGCTCTTTCAGGAGGAACAGTACGTGAAAGTAAGAAACTATTCCTTCTCTTCTTCGTAGGGAAAATAAAGAGATCAACCTGCGAACGCAATATCATAAATAATGTCCCGAATAATCCAGGGAATCTTCAAAAACGAATAGGGATGGTTCAGATAACGTTCACGTTTCAGGATACCTCCATGCGAGACGGACAGCAAGAAAAGAACCCCAGCGTCCTGATCGGCGGAAGAACGTAGGCCCACCATTTCCTATCTCTATCCATGTCCATTTCGTTCTCGTGGCGAAGACTGAAAAGTCCACAGCCGACACTTTTCCAGAGGTTTTACTGACACAAATGCAAGAGCTGGGATTGCAGCGTTCGAGCTCTTTCTTTCCGGTGCTGTTTCCAGACCGTTGGAGCGAATGGGCACACATACCTCCGTGACGTGCCGAGGCCGAGCGACCGATCCCCACCAATGACCAAACCTGCACGCAGTCGTCATGCACGATTCAGGGCAAAAGAGACGGTCCGTTCTTCAGTTCCATGCACGCGTGGAGTAGCAACGACGCCAAGACGCGCGCCGGAGACCGCAGCCCGCCCGGCGGGAAAACAGCAGGTTTTGTTTTCCCCTGGCGTCGTCACGTCCGTTGCGAAGTTGCAATCCACGCATCCACCGGCGTCCGGCCGGCTTCTCCTCCTCCTTTCGATCCACCCATGCAAAAACAGTTGGCGAGTCGTCGTCGCGGACTCCGCGGCGAGCCAGGCCCAGGCCCAGGCGGGCGCCGGGAACGGATCAGGATCGCTGTATCCAGCTTCTTTCAGCTGCCATGATCGTGTTGTTCCGATCCAAAAGCACGTAATCTCACGCGGTCCGTGCGGGCAATAAGCGGCACCGGCACGGGTGCGGTTGGTTTTGGATGGCCGCCGCCTGGACCCGCCCGCCCGTTGCCGCCGGGGCGAGGCGAATTCCGAGCAAATCCGCGCGGCCGCACGGGGCAACGGGCTAGTCACCAGTCCCCTGCAGCTGCAGCTGCAGCTGCAGACGCATATGGCAAGGTGCCGTTGCGTGTGTCAGCGTGCAGCGGCGGCCGGTGGGCAAGTTGCAATGCCAGGGCCAGGGATGCGCGAGCGGCGTGCACGTGACGAGCGTCGTCGTCTTGTGTGATGCAGGGGGACCCGGTCTGACAGCCTGTTTGGCAAGCTCCCAAACGGGGCCAGGGCCATGCGGCATGCGGGCCGGCACTGGTTGGTGCTCACTCTGCTGCGTACTGTGCCTGGTTTTGGCCAACGGACGTTTCTTGTGGGCTCGGCTCCTGGAGGTCCCAGGTCCCAACGGCGGCCTGCCAAGAAATGACTGTGCAGACCACGCCAGGCGAAGCTACACGTTACTCACGTACGAGTAGAAGCGATCTGTGATCTGGACCGACCGATCGAATCCGTTCTGTTGCTCGTGAGTTCGTCGGGCGTTACAGGTAGACAGAGACGGATATGTGTGTGGAGGTCCTCCGTTCTGCTGCTGAGCTCCAGCACGTAGTTTGTGGTCCAGCCAGCAAACAGTGCATGTATGCGTTTACATCTGACTGCTGCTGGTTAATGGTTACTACCATTGAGCCTCCCAAGAGGCTCTCTAAGTGAAATTTAAGGCCCCAAAAGATTTGCACTTCTTCTATATTTCAGATGCTTAATTTCTTTGTTGTTATTCAGCTAATATGTAATTTTGTCATTATCTGATTATAGGAAAATTATAAATTATCTATTATAAATTATTTTTTTAATTGTACTAGTCGATTATCTAAAACTGTTAGATATATATGAAAATTCAGGCGCCTAGTCCAGAAGATTTTGAGACATGCAAATGCAATAGCTACCGCCTATGTACAGGTTTAGAGTCGGGACGCGCCCTGCACAAAGTGCTGAATTTTATGCACGCCGTTCGGACGAGCGTGTGGTAACAAGCGGAGTAATCTTTCATGATTTGTTTCTTTTTTGCATAAATAATTGCACGAATAAAGAGACTAGCAAAAATATACTCCTCCTGCTAACAAGAACTTTAACAGAGTGTATTTCTGCAAAAAAAAAAAAAAATTTGTTCAGACCAACAATTTTTTGAAAAACTACGAGAACGGGAAATATAAAGCCCAGGCCCATGTTTGTTAGTGTCTACTTGTGGCAGAGTTTAAGCCAGCTCAATCGGATAGGCCCAATATTCAACAGTCCGATTCAGCCAGCCTTACAAGGCCTAAAGCCCGCAGGCACATGGTAAGGTTCTTGTTTTTTTGCCCTAATAATATTTTACCTTCAGCTCCTATCCATTATTTCAATTATGTCTTTTCTTGTACTGTACTCCCTCCATCATGAAATATAATGTATTCTAGCATTTGAAATTTACCCTCAAATATTGTGCATTTGGAAAATAAAAAGATAATGTTTACTTAAATAAAAATACGTGATTATTTTGTACAAGGAAAGTAATTCATGTACTTGCCATATTTTGTATAAGGAGACAGCGAGTTCATCCTTTAATCATATGGAATAGAATCAGATTTTAATATATTAGGAAGTTAAGTGAGGGATACATGCGTCTATTGCACTCTTTGTTATTTTGTTAGAGAACGGACAAAGTGCACTATATTTCAGGACGGAGGGAGTATGCATTAAGCATTTTAAAAAAAAGGCCTAGCTCGAGTTTTTACAAAGACTGCTTCAGCATTTTCAAAAAGTGTGCTCTACAATCTTGTAGACAATATTGTAACATTTTTAATATAAATGTCAAAGAAAGATGTTGACCTAAGAGCATCTCCAATGGCCTTTCTAAATCTCACTCTATAAATCATTATTTGGAGAGTTATTCGCATAAAGATCGCTTTCCGTATATTTTCACTCTCTAGCAGTTTTTCTATATCTCGTGTGAACTCTAGAGAGCCATGCTCGTATTCTATTTTTGGCTAGCGAAAAATCCGAAATAGAAAATGACTATATTTGGATAACCATTTAGAGAAACCGTTGGAGGATAGTTTTTCACCAAAATATTTATTTCTAGCATTTATGAAAGATATAGAGAGTCTCTTGGAGTTGCTCTAAGACATATATGTTGACCTAAGACGACATTTGTATTCGCAGCAAGCATTCCTAACAATTCCAATTTCCATGCACAACCATTTTCACTGCATTTGGAACTCAGAATCATAAAGTTTTATGTTTCTACACAAACTAGTTCTAGCTCACAGGCACAACTAGTGGCAGAACCAGGGGGCTAGTAGGGGCCAATGCCCCCCCCCCACACACACACAGGGGAAATTTTATCGTAATATTGTGATTTTTTATCATAATATTGTGATTTTTCTTTACGAATACTAACTACTTACTCCCTCTGTCCCTGAAAGAATGAATTCCTAGTAACTTTAGGACAGATTAGCAACGAAGATAAAAGACCATGCTGCCCCTTATTAATTGCTGAACCTTAATAGCTCTCTAGTTACCGAGAAGCCTAATTAAGTAGTGTGGTTTGGAGTATCCAATAGCAGTCTAGGAGAGAGAGGTTGTGTTAAATGCGACCCAAATTATGATAGAGATTAATGTGGATATGTGGACCGTTCATCTCCAGAAATCGATTCTTTTGGAGACAAATTTTTGGGCTACAAATTGATTCTTTCAGGGACAGATGGAGTATATAAAACATTTTAAAAAGTTGTTAAGACATACTCCCTCCATATGGGTAATTCAAGTCATTTTGGACACTAAGATGGTCTCCAAAGCATAACTTTGACTTCTGATTATAAAAATATTTATTGGAAAGTGATATATATATATATATAAGTACTTTTGAAGACAAATCAATTCATATAGTTTTCACAATTCCAAACTCAATAAATTAAAAGTTATTCATGATCTATATTCCTAATGTTTGACCCAATCCTTGTTCAAAACAACTTGAATTATCAGTATAGAGGGAGTACACCTATTTATATATTTATCACACTTAGAGGTGTCATCATGTTTGCCTAGCCCTTTTTAATCAAAAGTTCTGGTTTCACCACTACAACTAAGGAAAAAGACAAAAGCTACATCGAGAGTCCTCTCCATTTACATTTGGCTATGAAAAACATACGTGTTGGAAACAACATTTACTGAAACGGAACGAAGAAAAAGAGAGGATAGGCGGAATTGAATGAGGTACACTTGCCTCGTGAATGTATAGTGTATACCATAGAGGTACATATATGGCAACGAACATAATATTTTTGTGTGTTTTAGCATGGTGTTGATAGCTAAATTTGGACAAAAGGAGTTGATCCAAGAATTTCTAGCATAAAATGGGTACCAGATAAGTTGGTTTTGGTACTTTGTCAAAATGCATAATGGATTCTACCGTAGCATTCTTCTAGTTGAGACGATTGAAAAAGAAGATTTGGAGTTCAGATGAAGAAAAAGACAACTTCGGAAAAATCATCTAGCAGAAACCAGCTTAGACGGTTTCCTAAACTGGCTAAGCAGTTTTTAAACTTCTCCAAATTTAAGAATGAGCGTCACCATTGCATTCCTATTATCGAGACGATTGAAAAACATATATAGAGTGTTCAATTTGGAGTCCGGACGATGAAATTACGCTATCATAAAGTTTTTACCTAGCAATCGGAGATTGAATTGTATTTTAGTGTATCGCCCTGTTCGTTTTGGCTTGTTTGGCTGATAAGTCATGACTGAAAGTACTGTTGGCTAGTTTGGTGTGAGAGAAAATTATTGTTCGTTGGCTGATAAGCCATGACTTATAAGACAAATTCGACCAAGCGAACATTTTGCAAGGGATCTCGACCTCTCACATGATAAGACCACTACTTATATAAATATAAGGGGATCACGATCGATTGAGGTATCAACAACACACAGACTATTACCTTCTTCAACCTCAAGCTCTTTCAAATTCCAACCTCTCTACGGGATTTCAGACTTCCATGGTGGCCTTATCGACACTAGGACACCCTCGACGTGTGTCTTTTCGATGAGTCTTCCTGGAAGATGTTTAAGAGTTTATCGGGCGAAAAAGAGTTGGTCCCGCTGTTTGGATCATCCTTCGCTTCGTGTATATGCTGTGTACGGTCCAGGAAGTTTCGTTTTTATTAGTGTGTAACCGAAATTCGTGTCAATACATAGGTGTTCGCACTTTCTAGACTTTACATAGATGCACCCCTAAGAATTGCAATGTTAAGAATGTGATAAAAGGATGTTAAGAACTGCAATGGAGATTGAAACAAATAGAACATCCAGATCCATAAATAGTGCTTCTACGATGACCAATACTCCAATTAAGGTAACGATTAGAGCACCTCCAATAGTTCCTTTTTTTACTCACTCTAAATTATCACTTAAAAAGTCATTTGAATAAAAAATGTTCTCTATTTCTTTCTATCCTCCAACAGTTTCTTTATATCTTGAGCATAATCTAAATAGCTAATCTTGCTCTTTATCTTTAGCTAGACAAAAATCTAAAATAGAGGAGGACAATATTTAGAGATCTAATTAAAGAAGAAGTTACATGGAACTTTTACCAAAATTTCTATTTCTATCAATAAAAAAGATGTAAAAGATAAAAAATATATTTCTATTAATAAAGAAGGATATAAAAAAACTATTCGAGTTGCATGTAGAGGTTTCGAGTTAGGAAGAGAATCTGTTCCTAGCCAGAGCCGGAGAGCCCGACGACGGAGGAAAAGGAGGGCCGGCTGGGGGAAGATCGGGACCGCGGCAACAACGGAGCCGAAGGGAAACGGCAGGGGAGTTCACTCCATCCAAGGGTTAGACTTTAGAGGAGGGCAGTTTTTCTCGTTCTCGTCGCCGTCAGAGAGGTAAGCAGGCAAGATTATGATTATCCCTAGCATCATATACTAGTACTATATAAGAGAAAAACGCAGGAATCCAGGATGTCTCACTCCTCTGGTGAGATCAGGAACCGTGACTAGTCTCGCCGTCATAGTAAGCAATCTCTAAAGTCTCTGGTTGAGTCAATTAATCCACGCATGCTGGGGAATTAGGGGTGCAACATATCTGCGTTTTTCATTCAAATGTCACCAAAACGACCAACATCGAACGGCATACATACAGCACGAACACACTGAAACACGACCACGTCTCGTGTTCTGGGAACGTTCACGGTTCCGATTCGGAAAATTTATGTTCTCACGTTATAAAATAACACTCTAAGTTCATGTTTTCGTTCCCTTGTTGCAACATGGTTGCTAAGGACTTTAGCGGAGGGCAGTTTTATTTTCTCGTTCTCCGTCGCCGTCAAGAGGTAAGCAGAGAAGATTATCCCTGGCATTACTAGTATAATATCCGTGCTAACGTCACGATTTTTTTTTGAGATGTACATAAAAATAATTAAACAATGATTTTTTTCATAGTTCAACTTTTACAGAAGTGAGGCCCTCGAACCACATCGCAAGAATGCACATAAAAAAAGCATTACTTGCCCTTTCTTTACAGACATTTTAATTTTGATCAACATTGGTTCAGAAAATTGCAAAAGGACATATCTCACCACTTATCAAGGCCCTGTTTAGTTCCACTTCGTTTTGCCAATTTTTTCAAGATTCCCCGTCACATCGAATCTTTGGACGCATGCATGAAGCATTAAATATAAATAAAAAATAAAACTAATTACACAATTTAGACAAAATCCACGAGATGAATCTTTTAAGCCTAATTAGATTATGATTGGACACTAATTGCCAAATAACAACGAAAACTAGTACAGTGTCATTTTGCAAAAAAAATCGCATCTAAACTGGCCCCAAGTTATCGGATCCAAAATGATGGTGGCTGAGGGATTCTACCAGCCGAGCTGCAGCCTCTGTATGTTATCTCCCAACAAAGTGAGCTATGAATGCCAGCTTATCAGTTCGTCTTTATCATAATCAGATGAAAAGTCCAGGTTGCGTCGGCAAGAAGAAACCTGCAATTTGGCATTTGCAGGACGTCAGGACATGGGTTGAAAATAAACTGTAAAGAGAAATAAATGCAATTCCTAAACAATTATTGAAATGATTACAGTCGACACCACAAGCACTTTGCAAAAACAATAATCAAACCAAAACCAAGAGAGCTGCCAGCCTTCTTCTTCCTCTGCTGTTGTTAGTAGTGCTCGTTGCCATTGCTGTGACGTGGGCATGTCAAGCTGCACGAAATCAAAAGGCGCGTGTGCTCACTCGTGTGATGGCCGTGTTAGCCGCCAGCACAACAAGCCGCATGCTCGCCCGTCTGCTTGGCATGTCGGTACATCATTATATGAATTATTCAGTGCCACATTAAAAAATTCAGTGCCACATAAAAAAAATCTTCTAATAATCTAAAGCTATAGAAGTCTATAATGTAATAAATCAGTTTTGCATACCATGTGTGTTATGCACTTTTACTGTTCGTGCCAATTGCAGATCGCCGATCACCAATTGTGGCTCCTTTTTTGATTAATCCCTAGTGAAGAAATTGGAGAATGAAAGGACAAGGAGAAACATGAGTACGTGACTAAAGGAGAGTAGGGCAGCTAGCAGAAGGCTAATTGGCTTTGGCTGTTGTTGAGTCTTCGTATCAGGATTCAGATGTACGTGTACCTGCAGGGCTGTTGCAGAGTTGCCCGATGCCCGATGGCCGTGCTCGGCGTCGCCGCGTCGCCCGCTCCTACGGCTGTACCGCATGCACACAGAAGAATCCGATGGGAGCCGCTTGGTCGCCGCCCCGGTCCGCGCTCACCACGTCTGCCGCCGTCGTTTCACGAGTCTCGTCGAGTGCCGCGCCGGCCCGCGCCCTGCTCGCCACATCCGCCAACGACGTTTCTCGACCCCAGTCCTTCGCGTCACCTTCTCGCCGCGCGCCCACCGCCGTGTTCATGAAAACACGGCCGATCTGGCAATGGCGAGAGGGGCTGGAGGAGGAGGATGGCTAGGGTTCAGCGTGAGATATGGGAGACAGGACTTAATGAGAATGCGCTAGCTCGGTCACCATCCTTTATCCTTTACCACGGTCCATGGCAGCAATTCCTTCCTTTCTCATGAGCTCCTTCCTTTATCGCTCGGCGCTGATCGCGGGTGAGGCAGCCGCGACTCGGGCCATCACGCGTTGTGCTGATTACAGGCGCGAGGGTGCGATGAAGCCTGGCTTCACCACCAAAACAACTCAGGCCATCCGATCGTAGCGAAGTTTCGTGATAATAGATCTCAGCCATTTATTTCTAAAAGACGGGATTTTCTGGTAGCACGAAGTGGGGTAGATATAGCAAAAAAACCATCTTTGTTGAGGACAAATTCTTGGGTGGACCAAGTGTAATTTTGATTGATCCCTTGTAGTAGAGAATATTCCACCGGTTATAGTCACAGTTGTTTATGGCATAATGAATGTATAGAATCATAATGCACATTGCGATTTGTAGGCTAACAAAATCTACAGAGTTGATTAGTAATGAAAACACAAATTTCTGATATTAGCCCAAGATATGAAAGTAAGCTAACCACAGAAAATCCTGAAATATTACTGAAATCATAGGTTATTAGATCCGGTTTCTATCTAACTACAGCTCAAAATAAGATAATCCTAATTCCCACCAACGCTAACCGCACAAAAAAATCGATCAAACTCATGCCTCAACTCCCAATGCCTAACCGCACAGAAAAATCGATCAAACTTCTGTCTCAACTCTCAATGCAGCATTCACCCCAGCAACGGACAAAAATATCAATGGATTGGGGAGGTAGGAGGAAAGAGTCGGTAATTCATCTTGGAGAACTCATTGATATTCCGGATGGGCTCATTGGCCGCGCAGATATTGCGGTAGGCTTTGGCGAACGTGCGGTCCAGGTGCTCCTTGAAACTGGCCGGCTGCTCCCTCATCGACAGCCACCTCCTCGTTCTTGGGGACCCGCAGCTCAAGCTGCATCGGCGCCGGAGTCATCAGGCCGCACCGCGCCGGATCTCCTTGTTCTGGGTGAGGAGGCGGCATGTCCTGGGTGAGGAGGCGGCGGAGGTTGTTCGGGTCAGCGTGTGCTTGCAGATGTCCGCGCGTGCTTCGACGGCACGCCCGCATTTGCCTACCGCCGCCGTCCGCTTGAGGGAGCTGCTGAAGAAGCGGAGGTTCGAATGATTTGAGGCGAGGAAGATTTGGGGATTTTTGTGGGTGGCAATCGATGAGTGACGGGGCGGGAATTGAGGAGTGACGAAAGGAAGGAATAGATGCGAGCAATTGCATGCAGTCATGCACGGGTTCGGCGGGATGTCGCGCGTGCCGGTGCGTTTGAAGCCTGCGTTAAGCCTCGCTTCACCACCTAAATAACTTTGGCCATCGGGATGATGGTGAAGCTGGGTGAGAATATATCAGAACCATTTATTTTTATAGGATGGAAGTTTTTGGGTGTATGAACTGAGGTAGACGTAGGAGACTTCATCTGTGGGGTACAAATTCCTGAGTGGACTAAGTCTAATTTTGATTGATCTCTTATAGTAGAGATGGGGAAAAACACAGGAATCCAGGATGTCTCACTCCTAGTGACTAGTGAGAGCAAGAACCGTGACTAGTCTCACTAAGCAATCTCTAAAGTCTCTTTTTGCCGTCATAGTACTAAGGAGTCTGTAAAATCTCTGGTTTTTTATGCAAAAAAAAAAACTAAAGTCTCTGGTTGAGTGATTTGAGTCAATTGATCCACACAAGCTGGGGAATTAGGGGGTGCAACATATCCGCGTTTTTTATTCAAGTGTTACCCAGACGAGCAACAGCGAACGGCATACTACATGCGACCAGAAAGGTAGAAAAACGACGCCACAGCACGGACAGACAAGACGCGACGCGACAGATGCGCATGCACCGGCGCGGCATCTCTTCGGAGGCACGCGAGGCCGGCGGCAGATGCGAGATGCCATGCCGCCCAACGATCTGATTGCTTGATTGGTTCTCTTTCTCCTCGCGGCTCCGCTCGACCGCTCGCTCAGGCGGTGATCGAGACGGGCTCCGCCTGCGGCGCGTCGGCGGCCGCGGCGGTACCCTTGGTGAGGAGCTCCGACACCCTCGCCGCGAGGCTCAGCTTCGCGGCCGGCGAGACGCCGTGCTCCCCGATGATGGACTCCAGCACGGCCTCGCACAGAGGCTTGTTCTCGATCGCCACGCCGCCGTCCGCCGGCACCGACGAGTCCTTGGAGAAGGCGACCTGGAACGGAACGGATCGGGGGATAACATCAGCGCTGGTACGTGTCACCATCCCATTTCGCACGGAAATGAAAGAAAGAAGAGAACAGCAGATTGGTACGGGTGGGTATAGGGTACTCACGGTGAGGACTCCGGTGGGCGAGTGCGTGAAGAGGATGGAGGCGCCCGGCGGGAACGTCTCGGGCTTGAACGCCTCCTTGAACTTCTCCACGGCGACGCCCTCGGCGTCCGTGTACAGGCCGACGGCCTTCCAGAACGCCACGCAGTTCTCCGTCACTTTCTCCGCGTACTGCTCGCCCGTGAGCGGAAGGATCATGGTCACCCTTGTGAACTTCTCGAAGTCGCCTGAGACAACACACACCAGAAAGCGGGAAGACGTACCATCAATCACATCGGTCGGTCTGTCGGGCCGGTCGGTCGCGTGCGGCAGTGTTGACCATCACTCACGCAAGAACAAGGCACCCTTTTCATCAAAAAAAAAAAAAACAACAAGGCACCTTTTTCACTCTTAGTACCCACTCACCCTTGACGACGTCGCGGAAGAAGGCGGCGTCGGACGCGAGCTCGTCGGCCGTCTTACCGGCCCACTTCTTCGCCAGCGCGGACACGGCCGCGTCCTCCAGGTACACGCCGATGGCCGTGAACTTGATGAAGTTGCCTCCGATCTCGAGGCCTCGCACGCCTGCACGCGCGCGCGACAAGCCAAAAGGGTAAACCGGAAGCTGCCAGCCTGCCATGCCATACTCCCCACCACCAACTAGAGACAAACTGGCACGGAAATGGAAAGGAACCTCAACGCAACGCAACGCACCTGCGCCGCCGAGGAAGTGCGAGACGGCGGAGCCCGGCGGGCGGGCCACCGGCGGGAAGACGACGCCTTCGACCACAACCTCCGGCACGGCCATTTTCGCACGGCGCGAGGGAACCGGACGCAACGTAACAGACGAACGAAGCTGGCTATGGTGGCTTTGTCTATGGGGCAGGGCGGGGTTGTTGCGATAAATATGGAGGGGACGGCGAGAGCAGAGGACGGAGGGGTTAGCTGGGAAGCGACACCTCAACAGTCGTCATAAATAAAGAAATCCAGGGTGCCACAAGTTCTGGCTAAAATTTGCAGGCATGCCACCGTGTACCAGTATGCATTTCTAGAAAAGAAAAACAAGATATAAGGTTAAAAGGTAACCTTAAAATATATTAAGGTTATATGATTATATTAAATTCGATAAGCTTACAAGTAAACCATGGTTTAAACTTAAAATTATCTTTATTTACTATCGAAACATCATATTTCACCGATTTACTTTCAAGCATAGTACATATTACAAATTATATATGACCAACCGAATGAAGAAGGCCAAAAAATAAATAAAATTGTTATGCGATGATCGAATGAATTCACTCTACTTATTGACCGGTTTTATCAACCTAATTTATAATTTGCTAATCGTGTGATTCATTAACTTTTCCATAATAGCTTTACTCAAGTTGCCCAATGGATCGACCCGGCCACTCTCATCCCTACAAGAGGATCATCCGACTTCCGAACGATGAGACGGTGGCTTGACCTACAGGCTGCTGTCATAGCCGTCCATAGGTAGGTTTGCATACCTCTCGGGTGACGTCATCGTGGTAACTTTGTAATATGCTTGTGCTTCCGAGGGCATAAGCAGTGGTAGTTGGCGGGATGCCATGACGTGGCGAATCGGTATCAAGTGCCTGCGGGTAGGTGAAGCTACCATTCACTATTCAGGGAACGGGACATGTGAACTCCACCGAACCGAAGAAGCTTTCGCCGTCCAGCTTCCAAGAGAACGAGCCCGAACCTCAGCGAACTTTTTTCTATCTAAATCCAATCCTCAGCATGTTACAGTTTTAGCATTTTTTTTTCTGTGGCGGAATAATGATGTAAATGATGCTTTACTGTTGGGATGTTAGAGCATCTCGAAGAGTTCCCAAAATCATGTGTCTCCAACAATTTCTAAAAAATTAACTCCTAAATTATATAAAAAAGTTTCCAAAAAATTAACTCCTAAAATATATATAAAAAAAAGGTTAGACCACGGGAAGCTTTCCTCGCGGCGCTCGCGCCTGCCCCTGCCATCCTGGTCGCCGGCTGGTTCGACGAGAGCGGCGACGGCCGAACGCCCGCAAGGACAACTTCTTCCACGACATGACGGACGCGCTGACGTGACGGAGGTTACGGTGAAGTCGGTCCCTTCCGCGGCGGTGTCGTCCAAGTGCACGAAGCATCACGCCGTGCCAGCGGTGGTGTTCTCTAATGCCGGCTATGGACAACTTCTTCCACGACGCGCTGATTCCGCTGTTCCTGACCACGGCGCATGCACCTGGAGGGCGAGGTGCAGCTGCTGGACACCAACTACAAAGCCGTGGTGGGTGCAGAAGTACACGGCGCTGCAGCGGAAGCTGTCCCGCCACGACGACGACGTGATCAACTTCGACGCTGATGACGCCGAGGACGTGCACTGCTTCCCGGCGGCGGCGCGTACTTACTACCGCACGCCCGCACCATCGCCTTGCTGTTGCTTGCGGACGCTGTGGGCACTGGCACCTCTGGGCCGTCCGGTGATCCGGTCGCGTGAGAGGCACCTGCCTGATCCTGTCGCCGCACCCGACCCACAACCCGCGCAACCTGACGATGGTGGACTTCGGGCTGTTCTTGCATGGCGCGCTGGCGCTGCCGCGTTCTCGGCCTGCGGCCCCGGATGCTGATCATCTCGCGCGCCGGCATGCGGCGGCTGCTGAACCTGGAGGAGGTGGCGGCGGCGGCTCATTCTATTCGTCCCGAGGGGGAAACATGCCGCAGAAAAACCGGCGCCAGCGTTTTCTAAGTCGTGAGTCTGCGCGCATTTATCCGCGCGATCGTGATTTTTTTCCAAATGCCAAAAGATCAGGAGCTGAGATTGGGAGCTGTTACAGATGTTTTTTTTTTCAATCTTTCCAAAAACTCAGGATTGAGAGCTTCTTCGGGGAACTCTCGGAGATGCTCTTACGTCAGGAGGTGGACCCTGTCTCAACTAATTGGATGCCATGTCCATGTATCTTGTTTGATACAACTTCTCTAGAGTAGTGTATCATTTGACTTTTCGTTTTAAAGTAGCTTACATCCAAATTCAGTTATCCTTCAATGGTGACTGAATGTGAACTACTCCCTCAATTTTCTAAATTAAGACGGGAGGGACCGGTTGGTAGTGTGTGGTGTTCAGTGAGTGAATACACGGCATACATGCCTAGACCTGTGACGTGGTGAACTATTCCATTGCTTTTATTACAATTCAAAAAAACGAGGGAAAGCAATATCCTCCCTCCCCTGTTATCGAGATTAATTCTCTTGTTCCTGCTGTGATTTCTCACGCCTCCTGTTGTGAACTATTCCATTACCAGTGGCCGTTTAGATCGAATTTTTTTTGAACTTTTTTAAATTTAGCTTTTCGTTTTATTTGGCGAAAATTTCCAATTATGACTATTTGTTGCTTTAAAAGATTCGTCTCGCCAAATTGTTTGCAATTAGTTATTCTTTTACCTACATTTAATTCAGCATGCAGTGATTTTGATGTGACGGAAAATCTTGAAAAATTTTAGATTTTGGGTGAAATCTAAACAGTGCCTTATTACAATTCAAAAAACGAGGGAAAAAGGATCCTCCTCCCCTGTTATCGAGAAACAGACCAAAAGGACATGCCTCCTGCTTGATCTTCCTGTTCAAGATCAAAATTAGCTACTAGAACAAAATTCTGAGAACGACTCAGAAACAGACCAAAAGGACATGCCGCTTATTCTTCCTTTCAAGAACAATACAAATACAAATGTCTGGGGACTACAATTTGCCCTCATTTACAGACTTGAAACTCACAGCCGACAAAACTCGACAGAAAAGACTTCTATTCTTACAAACCTCACTTGAAAAGTACTTTTTTTTCGAGGTAGAAAAGAATTTCCCTACAGAGATCCCCTAATCCAATAGAACTCACGTCTCTACTACCACCGGAAGCACGGCGACTAGACCAAAAAAAAACTGTCAACCACTGCTTTAATAACGAATGGAAAAAAGAACACTGATCGTAGGGATAGGGACCAAAGGAACAATTACAACTGACTAAAAAAACTAAATAAAAAAAACAAGGTATCTGCTATAATAAAACCTACTACGGCCGTGGAAACCTAACTGGACAGAAGCTCCAGGACCAGCTCTTCCAACAGATCATCTTTTATCATTCTCTCTATGTCCCTTCCTGCCCTGTCGATGCAGTCTGCTAAATCTGGCCACTTCGTGTCAAATCCTTTCTTCTCTGGCTTAGTCTCACTGGGTGCAAGTTGTTCCCGTCTCTGAACTAGAACCTGCAAGACTTTCTCCAAGAGACCCTCTGAGCCCCAAAGTGGAGCCAAGTTCATAGTAGTATTGACCCAAGGTTGCATGTTCAAGCATGGGGCAAGGATTTGTGATAGTATTGTGTTCACCATATCGAATAAAAGCTTCCTGTCTGATCTTGACCACTGAACAATTTTGATGTACTTCTTTTCCAGCTTCTCAAATACATCATCACCAGCAGGGTAGTCGAGAGACTGACACACCCTGTACATTTGATCCTCGGCAGTTCCATGAATTCCAGAAGCGATCAGTATATCCAGCAAGTAAGAGAAGTCCCTTTCCTCATCATCTTCAAATCCTTCAAGAATATCTTCAACCAGCTGTATGGGTTTCTCGTCGCTCAGCTCCACTTCAGAGGATAAACAGTCACTAGTTCTGACAATGCTACTTGCCTCCGCAGCAGTCTCTGTTGGTGCAAATGTGCCAAGCTCAAGTCTCAGTTGGAGATCTAAACGAAGAAGACCATAGAATTAAAACATAAAATAGAAAATATAAGAAGGCCAGAATACCATAGAGAAATGTGCCAAGGCATAATTACTAACCATATGGATCTGCAGGCTCTCGCCTGATGTTTTCAGAATCAGAGCAATCTTCAGATAGAGGTTGAAGAACAGATATTGGGCTAGCCTGACCTATCTCCCTAGCGTAGATGGCAGATGTAGAGTCTAGGCATGCAGCATGAGGGTAGTATCCCTGTCAAAGATAGCATGAGCTCAACCTTCCTACCATGCAAGTCGAAGGAAAGCAAACTAAATAAACATGTCCATCTGTTGTACTACAGCAGTAATTAAATTACGTTTGGTTAAGTTTGAAAGAAGAAAAGGCTAGATACCATGCTGATAAAGATATAAACAATCTTTCTGATTCTACAAAATCAAGAAACCATACAAGCATCTTCAAATTGCAATATCAAGTAAATTAGTAATCATAGATTCTAGTACATACCTTCTTGAAGGTCGTATTCCATTGATCACTTGCTATTACACCCAGAGATGATAAGTTGGAGCTATCACTATTGTCACTTGAAGACGATACTTGCAGATCATCAATGCTGTCACTGGAGGAAAAGCATAATATCTTCTCAGATTCACTGTAAGTGGAGCTCCATGTCTGTTCAGGTCCTTTTTGATTGAGTAAATCTGAACAGCACAGTTGCTTTTCTCGAATCAATGCATTATTTAACAAAGCCTGTGAATGTCTTTCCAATGAGGAATTAAGGTGTTCATGAACCTTATCTTTATTTAGCAGGTCAGTTGCACCTATAGGATTCACGATTTTGTGTCTTCGATTCAAAGCACTGATACAGTTTTGGTTCTGATGATTATCACCATGCCGTGGTTGACGTAGCAAAGACATTTTCTCAAAAAGGGAACAGTTTGTGCTGGTTAAACCCGTCTTTCGAGAAGCTGACCTTTTAGCACTTCTGACCAGTTGATAACTGAAATCGCTGATCTCACTACAACTCTTTACAGTCAGAGGATTCTTCAAATTGTTGTTGGGATTGCTGAGATAATATTT